CTGAACTCTGGGCCTGGGCGCTGTCCCTCAGCTCTTCAGCTCAAGGCTAGCACTCTACCACTTGAGCTACAGCGCCACTTCCAGCTTTTTTCTTTTTTGCTTATGTGGTGCTGAGGAATGGAACCCATGGCCTCATGCATGCAAGGCAAGCGCTCTACCACTGAGCCACCTTCCCAGCCCTCTATGTCATTTCTTTTTGACTGGAAAGTATTTCGTCGTTATCTTTATAAACGTGTGTGGTACCCTGATGATCAAAAACACATCTGCATTCTCACTTCTTTCCTAACTGCTGAAGCTCAGCCATTTTCTTCCTTTGGAACTTCTGTATCACTTGACCAATTACTTGACATTCACCAAGGAGTTTTCTTAGTTCAATATTTTTGGAACACTTGAAATCACCCAGAAGAGTGCTAGTCTCAAGAGAGGCTTCCCACACAGTTGTTAATAACTGCATGCCTGAGGCCTTGGTGTTAAACATGACTTTCAATTAACCCTTCATTAATTTGGTGACTGACTGTTATTCTAAGAGAAATAGTACTGGAATTGAAATTGAATTTTCCTGACAAAAATTTCAAATAAAATATTTCACAGAAATGACTATACATTCCTTCAGATCCCAATCCTTAGAACTCAATAAAAATGGTAACAAGCTTCTCAAACTGATCAATGAAAATGATCCATAAAGGAGGCTTTGAAAAGGTAAAAAATGGTGCCAGGGGGGTGGGATTAGGAGCATTTTTGTCTTTTTTTCATATTTTGAAACTTGACATAGCATTGCCTAATCAATATCACATAGATGATTTGTTATATAGAGAGGGATACTGCTAAAATACTATCATAATGGTATTACAAAGTGGTATTATAGTGTGACGCATATTACATTTATAACCAAAATATTAACATCTAAAAGCATTTAGGGCAGGTCATGATGGCTCACTTCTGTAATCCCAACTACTTGGGAATCAGAAATGGGAGGACTGAGGTCTGAGACAAGCCAAGGTGAAAAGTAGGTAAGACTGCATCTCAACAAAAAGTGCTGGGTTAGTCTGTAATTCTAGCTATGTGGGAGGTATAAGTAGGAGGATCATAGTTCAGGGCAAAAATAAAGTATCTATGAGACTCTCTCTGAAAAGTAGCTGAAGCACAAAAGACTGGGGCATGACTCAAGTAATAGAGAGCTTGCTTAGCAAGTTCAAGGCCCTGAGTTCAAACCTTGATAAAACCCAGCAAAACCCAAATCAAACAAGCAACTCATCTCCCCCAAAAAACCCCAAATCAAAACATTTAAAGGACTGTTTTCATTAAAAAGTAATATACCTTAAGCTAATTTCAAATGGAAACTTATTATACATATTAATTCTTGCTCTTGCCTCATTTAGTGTAATAAATTCTAACAGATCACATTCTATTGGCAAAAGCCCCTAACAGATCATAGTGTGTTAGGACAACAAACCAGACTATAAAGCACAAACATCAAATCCTTATAGATGAAGAATATGATGTATTTTTAAATAAAAATTTCTTTTTAATGACCTGTCAATGGAAACTTTTACTTCTAGATAATTCCTGAAGAAATATTACTTTTAAAGTAAAAGAGGATATTCATGTTTCTCATCTTACATGAATTAACAGTTTGGAGTTTCTTCCTAGTTGCTGGTAACTAAGATATAAGTATTTTATATTAAGTATTGTATATGAAAATGCATTCTAATATTATTTAAGTATACTAGCCTTCCAGTTGCTTATCTGACAAAATAGATGGGGCTGACTTCTTACTTTGCTCACCTACAAAATCAGTTTCTTTCTTTCTTGGAAATCTTTCTGAAACTTATTGAATAGAGTCCTGCCTTTCCTTCCTACAAGATAATCTGAGAAGAACTGAGACATTTAAATTAGCTTCCACAGAGCAGGCCCGAGGGTTTGGCCTGTAATACATCATGTGTGAAACCAAGATACATCACAGTGTATCAAATAGGCATCCTAGGAGCTCCCTTAAATTATATTAAAACCCTTTTTTAAATTTAAACTATAGTTCTAAAAAAGAGCATTCTCACTAAACATCTCTATTTCCCTTAAATTTTAACCTATTACATAAAACAAAACTAAAAGGACCAGATGTGTGGTTTAAGCAGCAGAACACTTGCTTATTAAGCTTGAGAAGGACCGAGTTTAATGCCCTGTACACAAAAACAAGCTAACCTAAAGACACCAATAATGCCACATTACTATGAACTAACTGCTCAACTTCATTGAGATTTCACTAGTTTTTTTTTTCCCCCACCACTCATTATCCTTATTCTATGCTAGAATCCAGCCTAGGATATCACTCGTCAGTTCTTTCTATTGCTTGCCTCCCCAGGTAACAAAAGAAGTACCAACTATTTTTTATCACTCGAACATTTCCCAGATAGTTTCAGGGAAGTCAGGGTGAAACATATAACACAAAGCAACTTCCAGTTCTTTTTGTGGGGCTCTGCACGTCACTTCCTGTTTTCTGAAGCAGACAAAAGGATTTATATAAAAGTGAAAATTGAGGCTGAACTGCCTAACTGGCACCATGCTAAGTGCTTCTAAAACCTGTCAGCTCCTCTGAGGAATTGAGGGGTGTCATTGGGGCCCTCCGCTTTGTAACAGGATTCTTGTGCTTGCCACTGTGAAGAATCCTAGTTAGTAGCAGTGGATAAGGAGATAGCATGCCTATCCAAGTATGTATTATTATGACAGTCCAATAATGCTACATCATTTACAAGGATTCTTTTCACATTTGAGGAATCACGTTAGCTATATTTAGAGTCTTCAGTGTTTCAATCTATTCTGAGCCCATTAGAGATAACACCCTCTTATACAGGAGTTATTATTTCCACTTTATACATGACTTGTTTAGTCTTAGTTTGCTTTCTTAATTGCACAAGGTTATAAGTTAATAAATGAGATAGCAGGATTTCAGTGTGGCATGTTTTACTCCCAATTTATGTCCTTAATAAGGAAGATTAAGAGGCTTTAAACTTGGAATGGATGCTCTTTTACTCCAATCAACCTCCTGTAGCAGATGTTTTGTTATAACCTGATCTATCAAATAATTCACTTAGAGGGTCCATAAGTAATTAAATATCATGCTCATTTTTTTGTTTCAGATTCTTTTTAGTTTAATTTAATTTTATTTTTGCCAGTTGTGCAGTTTAAACTCAGATCCTTGAGTTTGTCTGGCTTCTTTCTTGCTTAGCTGGTGCTCTACCACGTGAGCCACACACCTCCAAGCCTGGCTCTTTGCTTGTTATTATGGGGATGGAGTTTTATGGACTTTTTTTAAACCCTTGGCTGACTTCCAACCATGATCCTCAAGATCTTAGCCTTCTGAGTAGGGAGGATTATAGCTATGAGACCAGAACTCATGTAAACTATTTAGAAAATTTAAACCTTTAAACTAAAAAAAAAAAAATTTAAACTTTTTGGGGCCAGATGAGCTGCTTGCTTATTGAATAACTATGTAAGCTGATAATCCAAAGGCTCACACAGCCAGTGTCAGAACAATGTCCAGCACAATGTTAGAACAGCCTGTGAGATGCAGAGAACTTTCACAAGAGAGATTCAAAGATCCTCCTGCTCGTTTTGGCAAGAGACTGAATTTGGGACATGCAAATTCCACTATTTGTTTCACAGAGCCACTCTTGAAGGGGAAGTTAGCGAATCTGGTAGCACTCAGGCCATGAGAATATTAAGATCCGACTCAGGGAGTCGTTCCAAAACGATCTTAGGAAAAGTAAAGAGTGAACTAAGTAAGCAAGCTGGTGAGAGTGAAAAAATAAACTAAAATTCTTACTAGGCCATTTACCAATTAAGCAGAGAGGTTAATGTGAGGCTTCTTCTTCTCCCCCGCCCCCCGGCTCCCCCCACTTACCTGTGGATCATGTTCCGCGTGTACCACACAGCAGGGAAAGATTCCTTCACCAAGGACGTATAGTTGCGGTTCAAGTCCCGTCCGGATAAGGAGCATCGGTAGTTCCCCACGATCACCCCGTCCGGGTTGAGCATGGGGACCACCTTGAAGACGAAGGTGTCCCGCAGGAGCTGCGCGTCGCTCGAGTCTCCCAGAAGGTAATCGAGGAAGCCTTTCATCATCCAGGAGCTGTTGGTCTCGCCGGGGTGGACCCTGGCGGTCAGGATCACGGCCTGGCGCTTGCTGGAGTCGGGGTTCTTCAGGGGAGAGGTGATGGTGAGCACGTACACCATGTTGCGCGCCAGCGTGTGGCACAGCACGCGGATCTTGCAGAACTGGGAGCGCACCGGGTCGCTGTTCACGGCCGACAGGTAGTCCTGCAGGTTGCTGTAGGTGTACGGGTAGCAGTGGGCGAAGTAGCAGGTGTCCTGGCTGTGGGGAAACTGACAGGTCCAGGTGAGCGAGAAGAACGGGCGGCCCTCCTGGCCCAGGTTGTTTTTGTAGTACTTGATCTGGTCCCCCGTCCGCTGCCAGCCGATGTGGTGGCTCTGGGCCTCCTTTTCCGAGTAGAACAGGGGGCGCATGCCCCGGTTGTAAAGGCTGGCGGGCTTGGTGAAGTTGACGATGGTGAATCTGTAGAGCGTGGCGGCCTGGGTGTTGGTGACTTGGAAATAGAACCACTGGGTGTGTTTATTGGTGAAGAGGTCCGGGCGCAGCGTCAGCTGGTATTCATACTCCGCCCTGGGGCACAAGAAATGGAAAGGGATGGGGTGTGTGTGGGGGGGGGAGGGAGAAAACCAGTCTGGAAGAGGGTAAAAATGGCCTCCCCCCGTTTACATTAAATGAAAAAAAAATTACCTTATTCAAAAAATCTATTTCACCTGTTCCCACATGGTACTTCTTTTTTCTTTTTCTTTTTTGTCCTGGGGTTTCCTGGACCCTGTCCCTGAACTTTTTTTTCTTTTGCTGAAGGCTAGATCTCTACCACTTGAGCCACAGCCCCACATCTGGCTTTTGCTGAATGGTTTATTGGAGAGAAGAAGCTCACAGACTTCCCTGCCCTGGCTGGTTTTGAACTGCGAGCCTCAGATCTCAGCCTCCTGAATAGCTAGGATTATAGTTGTGAGCCACCGGTGCCCAGAAGTACTGTTTTTGGGAGGGGGAGAGAGGAGCGGGGTAAATCATGTTCACTTAAGACAGTACCCAATACCAAGTGACTTCAAAAGATACAGAATGTGAAATGGCATAGATGTCTGTCTGATGGGAATGCCTGAGAGGATGTGTGGGGAGAAAGAGAATGTTACAGGGAGAAGAACACTAAAACACATGGCATCGGTGACTGAGGATGCTGCTGAGAGCTGCAGAATAACCTTTGGGCAGCAAGGATGGGGGGAGTGAGAGGAAGCAAGGGACCAATCTGTGAATATGTGAGTATCTGTAAATATGTGAAATACCACAGTGAAACTCCTTGGAACAATTAGCACACACTAAAAAGAAAAAAAAAGGACAGGAATGTAAAACAGGTCCTATGGGAAGGACTAGTGGGAGGTGGGAGGGAAAATGGCCAAGGCAAAGGAGGGTGAATGTGTTCAACATATAGTATGTCTGGGTATGAAAACAGAGCAATGGAGCTGGCTGGGGTTGGTTTGGGAAAAGGGTCAGGGGGAGGAGAGAGGGAGAGAGAGAGGGAGGGGGGGCATGAGTCTGATCAAGGGACATTGCATGCATGTATAGATCTGTCAACATGAAACCCCTTGTACAACTAATTCATGCTAATTAAAAATGTAGAAAAGCATTGAAATCTTTTCCTGCACGAGAAACTGTATGCTAGCTCTAAAGCCTTTGTAATTTCAACACAGCACATTAAAAAATGCAAGAGTCTGATCAAATCTGCATATTTCAATGTAATTGCATTTTGTAAAATAAATGATTAAGGAGTTATGGAAATGGAAGAAAAATCCTTTCTTTTGCATCAAACACAGATTTCTATTTTATACTAATTCGAATCCTTGGGATATGAAATAATTATCATTCAGAGACATTTAAAAGCATTTAAAAGTTAACATGATCACATAGATTCCAAAGTGTGAATGCTTTCAGTATACAAGGATTGTGTTTGATAACTGTCTGGACTCCAGACTTAGCCATTAAATAGTTTTAAATTATGAAGAAAGATAGCATTCCATTGGAATATTAGTTATATATACAAAGTTTATCTTACTTGTGTCTTTTTTCCCTTGTCAGCTAACTGTTTGAATTAGCATGTGAGTATACTTTATTGCAAATAATCAACTAGGAACAGGTAAAATAATTATTTCAAATCCTTGATATCTCTAATTAGCACTTATACTTAAGGAATTACAGAGCAGTAGTAGCAGATACCAAGAACTTTAAGATAAAGACCTAAAACAGAAACAAACAAACATTTGGTGTTTTGCTCCTCAAATAAAAATAATTAAAACCTACACTTTGACTACCTTCTGTAGATTCCCGCTTTCAAACCTTGCTTCAAATATCAAGGTGTTGTCACAATTATCCGCAGGGTGCTTCAAGGCTGTTCGATTACCGCCAACTCGGAAATATACAAAACAGGGTTCTTTGTAAGCTGGTAAGGAAAGACTAAATCAATGACAATAAGATATCTAATGAATATATTTGAAAGTGAGGTAATACATTTCTAAAGAGAGCAAAGATCCTCAGCACCACATAAGCAGAAAAAAACCAAAAAACAAAACCTGCTGAAAGTGGACTGTTGGTCAAGTGGTAGAGCGCTAGCCTTGGGCCAAAGAACTGAGGGACAGCGCCCAGGCCCAGAGCTCAGGCTCCATGACTGACCCCCAAACAAACAAACAAAAAAACATTGCTGTGGATAAATGTATAGCTATCCTGGTTGCAGGAACACTGCTTCTATAAGATCTAAGACACTTCCAAGGAGAACTGGGACATGAACACTAACTTACCTGGTGCACACTCCAGTGAGGAGCACGGAGTCGGAAGTGTTAAGCCAATTGGCAAAGGTGGAGTGGACTAGAAAGAGAATACAGAGTCTCTGGGAAGATATCAAGGATATACAGATGTAAGGGCATTCTCCTGGACCTCACCAGGTATTCAGAGAAATCATGGATAAATCCAGAGTAATTACCATTTATGGTGCACCTTGTGTGTGGGGAGGAAAGGATGGGGGTGGGGCAGTGGCAAGCACTGCAGAGACTGGCACAAAATCTGCCCAAATCACTTCTCCTTCCTACTTATGGAGCAAAATCTTAAATTCTGGGGTAAGGGCAACAAACACTGGCACCAATAGGGCACTGGTATGCATGAATACTACCTAGGAAAAGGAAATTGATTGAAAAGGAAAAATAAACCAAATCCTTTATTCCTTGAGGAAAAGCAGGGTTTACACACTGGAAGACACTGGAGTACTCTGAAGACTTCATTTCTAAGAACCAGAGACCTGGTGTGTGAGTAAGGTTGAGGCCTAAGTAGAATGATAATGCATTTCTACTTCTTCTCTCAAACCAGGCTAAAACAAGCCATGAGAACCAACTAACTAGACATTTGGGAGTACTGTACAAAGTTCAAAGAGATCCTCCATGAGATATAGAGCAAAGGGAAAATGAAGGCTGCTACTGCAGCCCATCACTCGAGCTCCATCCTAAATGATAATGTGGGATTTGAAGCCTGTAGTGCAATGAAGGTTAACACGAGCAAAAAATAAATCTAATCCCAGCTCATTTCCTGAATTACTAAGGTAACACCCTGCCCCTCCCCCATCTCATACACATATACTGAAGAGTTAGCAAGTGGAAATTTGGCTGGTTATTTTTCCAATTTTTAGGCATAAAGACAAGTTGTTTTTATTGTCTTCCACAATACCTCCAGATAATAACCTGAAGATTTCGAAATACATGCGCACGCATGTGCGCGCGCACACACACACACACACACATGCACACACACGAATCTTCCATGTATTGTCAAGAGACAAAGCTACAAAACATAACCATTCTATAAGATAAAGATGTTGGATCTGTCAGATAGAGATTTCAGAAGACATATGATTAATAAACTAACGGTTCAAGAAAAAGAGCAGGTGAGTATTTCCAGATGGTTATCGTCAGAAAGCATTAACTTGCATGTGAAAAATGAAAACACTACACAGAAGCAGAGCTTACCTTTGATGAACTGCATGGATCAGAGGAATAATCACTGAGCTCAAAGATGGCTCAACAGAAACAAAACTGAAGCATAAAGTTTATTTTAAGTAACACACACACACACACATGCACACACACACACACCCCTACACATGCCCTGCTACTGTACATGACTATGAGATTTCACCATTCCATTTTAGTATCTCTTAGCTTTGTTCACCCTTTTGTAAATTCACTCAATTAAATTTTCTCAAATTACTCAAGGTGTGCTTTCTAATTCTGTACAAGCCTCTGACTGAATCACCTCAATTATTTTAATTTTTTAAAAACTCAGATCTCACTTTGGCTATGCCTGGAAGCTGTAAGCCAAGTTAATATAAGTATTTTAAAACAATTTTTTTAAAAGTCAGAGGTGCCTTTTCTCTTTAGGTGTTTAGAAATGTATGTGAAAATACGTTATTTCTAGAAAGACCTTTAAATAAGGGAGTGGAGCTTTGGCTCGAGTGGTAGAGCACTCTCCTTGAACTGAAGAACTCAGGGACAGTGCCCAGGCCCAGAGTTCAAGCCCCATGACTGACAAAAGGAAAAAAAAATCTGTAGATATCCCTTTAAATAAAACCTGGATGCTCTCTGTAAAGATATTTTTAATATATGAAAACACCAAATAGTAAACTCTGATGGTGAATTTGTGCCATAAATTCCTGCCCACCCCCTTGGTGATGTTAGAATATTCCTTATAGTAATACACAGGCTAAGATTCTAAGTTTGACTGTCAGCATTCTCTATCATAAGAGCAGATTGAGTGTGTATTAATAAAGCTTGCAAAGTGCAAATATTGATCTTGAGTAGTAACACTTTCATGGGATATAATCTTGGATGTTATTTGAATGTGGGGCATTTTCTTGGGTTATAAAATGGTAACTCTAAGAAATGCATCAAACAGGCATGAAATGAAAAGAGTGATTGAAAGAGATGCAGAGAGGCTAACAATTGTTGATAACTTTACCTTCAAAAACCATGTCAGGCAGAATTCATTCTAATAAAGCTACTCAGCATAAACTAGTATATCTTCAAAAATTAATTAGTACTAGCTGAACATTTGAATCAATATGTAACCCATCATTTTTCATAGGAACAGAGACTTCCTGGTAATTTCTGATTTTCCCACTACAAACAGCAAAACAAGTATATCTAAACAGCAATCCATGTGTGGTTTTTTGGTGTGTGTGTATATATACTAGCCCTGGGGCTTGAACTTGATCTGGGTACTATCCCTCAGCTCAAGGCTAGTACTTTACTAACCACAGCTCCACTTAATTGGAGGTAAAATTCTCATAGACTTTCCTGCTCAGGCTGGCTTTGAACTGCAGTCCTCATACCTCAGCCTCCTGAGTAGCTAGGATTACAGGTGTGAGTCATAGAAACCAGTCCAAATTGTATGTTACAGCAACCTATCTTATTAGCACTCACTATCTTCCGCCAGATAAACTACTGTATTCTCCTTGGAGTTTGAATAGGTAGGTTCAATTTCCAGGCCTGTGGGGATGTACACTGGCTCAGGAAAAAAAGGAGTCCAATCTGGAAAAGAAGAGAGGAAGGGATTCTATAAATACAACATCAAAAGAAAATGGGAAAAATTAAGTGTAGATCTAGGCTAAATTTTGGTGTTTTGAGCAGGCTAGGTTCACTGAAAACAATAAACACCATCACACTGTAACAAAACTTGCATTCCTTTGTATCTTGTTCAAAAATTATCTTTTTTTAATTTTTCTTTTTATTATTATTTTTTTATTGTGAGAATACCATACTCAAAAATTATCTTATTGAGTAATACAAGCTTGCTTTGTGCTCACTGTCAATTTGATGTTGTGATTTTTATTCTTCCTCAGTCATTGATGTCATTCTATCACATCTCTGAGGTCACTGTACCACCTTTCCTTCTTTCTTTCACTGTTATCTTCAGCCTCTTTCGTGGTCATGGTAATGCCTTCAGTCTGTAAGCATTTTCAGATTCCTTCTCTCACAAAAGGGTGTGTATTCACAGACTTCCATTTGAAAACATTACCTGCCAGCTTAATTTCTTTTACTAATGTCTTAAAAGTTGTCTATGTCATTACAAATCTTTCAGATTGTGATCTATTTTGGGGAAAACTACCCTTGTCATGTGTGTACCTACACAACTACCTTAGTTGAACAAGAATCTGGTGATAAGAAATAAGCACTACTGGGCAAATGTTTTGAATATTAGGGGTACATTTGCTCTAGCAATGTCACTGTATTTAAGTTAATGAATAGTGGCAAAGTCTACCTACAGAGATCCACTACATAAACTCCTGTATGAATGCAAATATGTACCACTGTACATTACAGGATTAATCAAACAACACACAATCAATTATCAATTAATAGTAAATTACATTTATTAGTTGAAAACCTTAATTAAGTCAAAATGAATCACAAACTTATAACTTAGTTTCTATTCTGCAAACACAGGGAGTATTTTACTTATTTGTCTTTGTGTAGTCTGCTTATCAAAGAAATAGTTGGAGATTTCCTTAACTTCAGCATATGCTATTACTTTTTTCTTAATAACTATTATTTAAAGAAATACAAATATCTCTTATCCAAACTGGAAAAAAAACTCATATAAATGTCAAGGTTTCAGTTTTCCACAGTCTCCTTACTGAGAACCATATTTTGAGAATCAGCCTTATGCAATTTCAGTCTAGCATTCACTCATTTTAATTCTGCTTGGTCATTAAAAATGTTATTTGTATAGTATTTGAAGCAATAGGCACTTAAATGTCTGTAGCTTAAATGGGTGGATGGTGAGAAAGATGGATGAATGATTGGATGGATGACTGAACAACTAATATAGGGTAAGTATCCACATTTACGTATAAATGATATAATTCAGGTTTATTACCACAAATGCTTTCTATCCAATTATGTATTCTCATTACAGAAAAGCCATTCTAAGATTATTGAAATTTCATCTTGTGTCTTAACCAATTTACCCTTCACCAGCAATTTTGAAGGCTCTATTTCCTCCACTTTTTCACCGTTGCTTATTATAAGTTAAATTCAACTTCTTAAGATGTCCATGAAACATTTCTGGGACTTACTAACAATCAAGGAAATGCAAACTCAAGCCATTTCGAGCCATAATGGAATGCTTAAGTATAACAAGATAGAGTAGCATTTCCTTTATTTATTTGCTAAATGATTTGTTCTCAAGGGAAGTTTTCTCTAGAAAATTAATTACTATCTAGGCCAAAGTTAAAACAATACTCTGTACATGTCTAAATGTTCCAGATTAATTTAGCAATGGCGCCACCTGATGGTCTTTTTCCCCTTCTTTTTCAATTAACATCAATTAGATTGTGCAACAGGGTTTTATTTGGACATGTCCATATATGTACCTTGATCTGTCCTTTTCCCTTATCTATCCTCCCCTCCCCAAACCATCTCAAGCTTTACTGTTCCATTTTCACACATGTACAAGTAGTATTTTGACCATATTTACCACCTTCCCCCTCTCCATTTGCCCTTCTCCTTACAACTAGTACCCTCATTCCGCAGTTATTTTATATTTCTGCTGTTCTTTTTCTTTTTAGCTTATTCTCATCACTTAAATGGGTTTCATTATGATGTTTCACACATATATGCACACTATTTTAACCTACAGATCAATCACTGACACAACTGGTATCTTTAAAACAATGAGACTATGAACCTGCTATAGCCTTAATTAATTAATTAATGTCTCATAAAATTTCTATCAATAATGCTTTATGGTCTCTGCATAGCAGTCGTTTATACCTTTAGAGATTTAAAAATATTTTATTTTGTAATTATATATATTATTTTGATACAGTGAAAACATACAGAAAAGTTGAAAGACTCTCCCTCCCCAAAATACTTACCATGACACTTAATCGTCTCCAAATACTCTGCTGTATATTTCCTACAAAATAGGATGGCTCCTGTATAATCATACCTTAGACTCCTGTGTGAAATTTTCCAGTTGTACCAACAACACAGTCCATAGTAAAAGGATCTAGTTGAAAATCACATGCTGCCTTTGATTATCCTGCATTTTAACTCTTTTTAAATTTAGAATCATTTACCCAGCTTCCTGTCTTTCATAGGTTTAAGACTTCTGAAAATGACTTCCAATTTTAGCTAAGAGACACAGAGAGTTAACAAAGTACTACTTCTGCCCTATGACAACAAATCACCTGGACAGACCATAAATGAAAGACTTTTCTGGAACCTGCCAGCCAACCAGTACACTTGCCAAAGAAAACCAGCCCCCAGCACTGGCATCCTGAAGGCTGTACTGCCACAGGTTTTCATAGCAACCAGCCAGCAGGTGCAGTTAATAAAGTGGGCTAGTGTGAGGGTGCAGAGATCTTTGAGGCTCACTGAGACCCATTACAGATCTTTGTGTTTATTTCTGTACTTTTAAGTTTATCCACTGGTCTATATGTCTAGCCACATGATTGAACCATACCATCTAAATCACTGTGAGTCTTGAACACAGAAGATGTGAGTTCTCAGCTTTGTTCCTTCCAAATTTTGTTTTGTTGTGTTTTTAAAGAGGGGGAAGGAGAGACCAGGGTTTCTTGGTTTTCCATGTGACTTTTAGGAACAGTATGTCAATTTCTACTAAATAGCCAGTTAATATTCTAATAAGAATGGTATTTTACATGTAGGCCAATTTGAGAAGGACTTTTATCATGATGTAAGAACTAATTTGTGAATATGGTATATTATTTAGCCATCTATTTTACTAGTCTTAGAACTTGAACTTGGGACATTATGCTCTCACTTGGCTTTTTTGTTCAAAGCTGTCTCTTTATCACTTGAACTACACCTCCACTTTTGGCTTTTTGCTGACTGATTGCAGATAAGAGTCTCACAGATCTTCTGCCCTACCTGGCTTTGAGCTGAGATCCTCAGATCTCAGCTATGTAGAAATACAATTGATTTTTATATGCTACCTTGTATTCTGCAACCTTGTTGAGTTCATTTATTAGTTCTTAACCTTTCCCGGCAGATTGCTTAGGATTTTCTACATCCAAGATCATGTAAGGCCTGAGGACAAGTCTCCTGTCTTACCCAGTGGTCTTTACCCAAGTGGGGACCACATCTGGGGACAAGTTCCTTTTGGTCCAGCCCAGTATTATCACTCTGACGCCAATGGTTCTTGTCCTGTGGGCATGGGCCACGTCTGCCACGATTTTCATTCTCAGCACAACTGCCATTGTTAGAGGTCATCCCCCTTACCGTCAGTAGCGCTTGCTCTTGAGAGGCCTGACAACAGAACATCCCTGTGTTCCCTCTCCTCCCAGCTCTACCACCACTCTGATAAGGTTCCTCCTGGTTGTACTCACCCCTGCAGGGCCTGGTGTGCCCTGCTACCTCCACAAATGCCTACAGTCCTTTTGAGACACTTGTAAGTCCTGCTGACATTGATCATAGCCAAAGGAGAATTGACATGAAGATTTTTTTTTAACCTTTGTACTCATTCTGAACCCAAACCAATATACTAACCCAACCAACACCCTATAACTCATTAGTATGAAAAACTTGTAACATCAGAACAGTTCATTGACACACCAGATGTGTACATAGCAACATAGGGACACAAAAGGAAGGAAAAAACCACTCCCACAAAAGGAATTCCCAAGAAACATGTCTTCAAATAAAGGACATCTATGCACTGCTTGAATGAAATTCAAGTTAAGGATCCTCAGTAAGCTCAGTGAGATGTGAGAATATAAACAGATAATTCAACGCAATGAAGAAAACTATGTAGGATCTGCACGAGAACCTGAAAAGATTTCTGTTGGAATGCACATTCTAACACCGTTTTAACGAAGTAAAATCTCTAATGTCTGGGTAAACACTTACCAATATGGTGGACTTTTTCATTGATGACCTCACAGTGGTAGGGCCACCGTGTGGGACTCAATGGGCCAGAAGAAGAGACGCCGTATAAATCTCGAGGCTCTCGAAGGCGTGGCACCCATCGTCCTAGCTGATACTCCAAGAGAATCTGGGTGGTCCGAGGGAAGAATGGGTCGCCAAGAGCGTCTGGTGGAAAAGTTTCCAACACAAGGAGGGAGAAGGAAAGCCCCAATTCCTATGTGCTTTATGTGACTTCTTGTTTTTCTTCCAACACTATTTCATCCATGCATATCCTTTCTACTAGTGAATAATTCATGATATTTTAAATAGAAAATGTTTATGAATGTTTGTGGCAGCTGACCCTCATAAGAGCCAAAAATGTTTGTCAACTTATATATATCATGCATTCATGCTGAATTCTCAACCAGTACTTAAAAATGTCTGTTTTTTCTCTCTCTCTTGTCTCTCTTTTTCTGCTTACTTAAAAAATTATTTTATTGATCGCGCGCGTGTGTGTGTGTGTGTGTGTGTGTGTGTGTGTGTGTGTGTGTGTGTGTGTGTGTGTGTGTGTGTGTGTTGGTCCTGAGGTTTGAACTCAGTGCCTGGAGTTTGTCCCTGAGCTTTGTTTTGCTCAAGGCTAGTGCTCTTCCACTTGAATCACAGCTCCACTTCCAGTGTATTTGGTAGTTTAGTGGAGATTAGAGTCACATAGACTTTCCTGCCTGGGTTAGCTTTGAACCATGATCTTCAGATCTTAGCCTCCTAAGTAGCTAGGTTATCCACCTGTACCTGTATACATTTTTTTTTGCCAGTCCTGGGGCTTGCACTCAGGGCCTGGGCACTGTCCCTGACCACCTTTGCTCAAGGCTAGTGCTCTACCACTTGACCCACATTCTCAGCCCACATTTTATTTTTTAAAAGTAATTTAATTATCTATCTATCTATCATCTATCTATCTATCTATCATCTATCTGTCTGTCTTGGGCAGGTCCTGAGGCTTAAACTCAGGACCTGGATGGTATCCCTGAGATTTCTTTCTTTTTTTGTTTTTTCTTTGTTCAAAGATAGTGCTCTACCATTTGAGCCACAGATCCACTTCTGGCTGTTTGTGGTTAATTGGAGATAAGAGTCTCACAGGCTTTCCTGCCTGGACTGGCTTCAAACTGCGATCCTCAGATCTCAGCCTCCTGAGTCATTAGGATTACAGGGGTAAGCCATTAGTGCTGATGACAAAGCCAATTCCAATGCTTAGTGACAACTATAAAGTAACCATCACTTACATCCAATTTCTTCCATTATTTTCAATCATAAATTGGGTTTAGGTAACACCATACTGAAGAATTTAAATTCTAAAAAGATACTTATGGAAGTGAATATACATTTTTCTCTCTCTCTATCAATATGATGATTATTTTATTAAATCTGAGCTTGTTTTTAGTTTCTTTATCTTATCAACTTAAGATCTCATGATAAAAAAGTGAAAAGTTGAAACCTGTTAGCAGTGTACATTCACGAATATCTTCATCAAAAAATTTTATGAATGAATCCTCATCCTGAAACAAGAGAATTTTTAAATTTAAAAACCAACAGTTTCAAATTTAGAATATTTTCACATCTGTGTTTGTTCTTGGAACTGAGTACTTGTCTTTAACGTTTAATAAATAAGAAAGTTTAAGAATTTATTGTGGGGGCTGGGAAGATGGCTCAGTGGTAGAGTGCTTGCCTTGCATGCCTGAGGCCCTGGGTTCAATTCCTCGGCACCACATAAGCAAAAAGAAAAAAGCTGGAAGTGGCACTGTGGCTCAAGTGGTAGAGCACTAGCCTTGAGCTGAAGAGCTGAGGGACAGGGCCCAGGCCCAGAGTTCAGGCTCCACGACCAGACCCCCCCCCCCAAAAAAAAAGAATTTATTGTGGGTTTCTGGTCTCAAAGCAGTATCTCCAATATCCTGGAACCATCAAATTTGCATCTTGACTGCTCCTCTTCCACTTGCTGTGGTCATAATTATATCTGTAGCAAATGACCAATGTTTGGGAACTTCAGAAAACAATTTAGATTAAGAATAAAATAAGGGGCTGGGAAGATGGCTCAGTGGTAGAGCGCTTGCCTTGCATGCATGAGGCCCTGGGTTCGATTCCTCAGCACCACATTAGCAAAAAGAAAAAAGCTGGAAGTGGCGCTGTGGCTCAAGTGGTAGAGCGCTAGCCTTGAGCTGAAGAGCTGAGGGACAGCGCCAAGGCCCAGAGTTCAGGCCCCATGACCGGATCCCCCCCAAAAAGAATAAATTAAGCGGGGTGCTGGTGGCTCACACCTGTAATCCTAGCTACTCAGGAAGCTGAGAACTGAGGATTGAAGTTCGAAGCCAACCTGGCAGGAAAGTCTGTGAGACTTTTAACTCTAATTAATCACCAGAAAATGGGAAGTGGTGCTGTGGCTCAAAGTGAGAGAGCACTAGCCTTGAGCAAAAAAGAGCTCAGGGACAGTGCCCAGGCCCATGATCTCTCTCTCTCTCTCTCTCTCTCTCACACACACACACACACACACTAAGGATAAAGGTGGAACCAATGCAACAGCCATACTCACAAGAGAATATGTTGGAAATGATCTGTACAACTTGTGGGGGGAGGGGGTTGGAGGGAAAGTGGGAGAAAAATGAGAGAGGGGGTAACAAGTTTGACAAGAAATTTACTCACTACGTATGTAACTGTAACCCCTCTATAAATCACCTTGACAATAAATTTTTTTTAAATAGGAAAAAAACCCCAACAATCGAGATTAACACCCCCCAAAAAAAACAAACCCAGAAAACTATGAGCTTAAAGGGTATTTCTGGATTTTATATACACGATAATATTTTAATAAAATTTGAAGAAAATCTCTCAGAAATATGGACTAGAAACAGTTAAAATATTTCTTAAGACTCTACATTTTTCTTCTTACTTATTCTTTTGTTTGTAATATCAGAACCATTTTAACCTTTACTATTACTGTGATATATCAGAGTATTAGAACTTAAACGATTTTAATATGATACAGACTAGGAGGTGACACAGTAGAATTATATACAAGAAAATAAGTGGACATCAATTATAAAAATAAACACTAATGACTTAATGCACACATTTTAATACATCCCACAAGACTCTTGCTGAAAATATTCCCTAAAGAAAACACCAGGATAGTTTTTTTTCTTTCAAGACAAGACATATTGTACCCAATAATAGCTTAACTTTCAGTCATATTATTTCCCAATTTGAATGACAATGACTTAAATACCTACTGGATTTATTTTTAGCATATATTAGTTATACAAGGGGGGAATATATTGTCTGTAATGTATTCCAATCAACCTTACCCCTTCTATCATTATCCATCGAACTGATTTTACATCAACTGTATTTTATACTATGTGAATATATGTTTTTATTTCAAAATATAAGATAGAAATTACGGAAAACATACCGATTCATCATCATCACTGATTGTTCTGTCTGAAGTGTCTTCCTTTTCTGAACCTTCTGACATCTCTTCTAGTGTTTGGCTTGAAAATCTTTTATTATGTGGATAAGCTGTAAAACAATTTCTAAGGAAATTATTTGACAGTTTCTCTTGTTAAGCTGAAGGCATATTTTACATTAAGTGACTACTTAAGAAAAGTTCAATTGTCTTAACAATGACAAGTTTGTAAAAACTAAATTAGGATTGAGCTAATAAAACCTTCGTTGAAGAAATGCTTCATTACTATGAGACAAGTCACAATAAAAGACAAATCAAATAAGTAATTTAACTGAAAAAGAAATTTCCAGATTATGTAGCCAATCAGACACTATACATTCAGAATAATAGTACATTCAGAATAGTAATAGTACATTCAGAATTATCCTAAGCCATGAATGAGATTATAAAGCAAGAAAAAATTATAGTTTATTCAAAGCCATTAAGTATAATAATACAGACTTTTTTGCTTACATTAGTTATACAGAAATTTCATTGTTACATTTCCATACATTTACAATGGATTCCAATCAATATCACTCTCTCTAGCACCCTGCCTTTCCTCCCCTTTCCCCAAACAATCCCAACAAACTTTATTGTTCTGTTTTCATAGTTGCTATTGATTTCTACTCTACTCAACCCCCTGCATGCTCCATTGGTAGTCATATAGTTTTGTTTTTTGGTTCTTTTTGGTCGTTTGTGGGGCTTGAACTCAGGGCCTGGGTGTTGGCCTTGAGCAGCTCTTCTGCTCAAGACTAGTACTCTACCACTTTGGGCCACAGCACCACTTTGGGTTTTTGAATGGTTAGAGTCTCGTGGGGACTGTCTCCTTGAAAACTGGAAGAAGATGGGCCTGACCAACCCCAAAGGAAAGACTTTAATCTTCTACTGTAATGTTCCTAGCCTCAGCAGGATGTGAAGGCTGACGATGGCTCTCTTAAATTTAGTACTATTCTACAACTCCATCTCTATGCTGCTGCCTAAAGAAATACTTAGAAGTCCCTTAGTCCCAGGCCTCTCTGGCTTTCTATCAAGACCCAGGCTTCCGATCCACCTGTCACGTTCCTTTTGACTCTCTCTTGTCTTTTACTTCTCAATCTGCCGATGGTCTCCCTCTCTAGATGATCCCTCAATTTATCAACCTTCTCAGGCCCTTCAGAATCTCTCCTCACTCTCCCCATCCTCCTCTAGCCTCTTCAAACCTTTAGCAGTCATATGGCCCTCCTACTTCTGGATTCTTCTCTGGGGCTTTCTCCTCTCAAGATCGTCTGACACCTAATCCAGAGGATACCACTTTGCCACCATCTTCCCCATCCTCTCAAGTCTCCTCTATTTGTGGTTCTGTGGGGTCCACTGGGTCTTGGCACCCCTCTAAACCTCAAAGCCATCTCTCTTTTCTCTCCCCTCTTACAACGGTGTCAGAAAGTGGAGGGACCTTTGAGAGTTCAGGTTCTTTTTCCATGTCTGATTTCTCATTGACTTGAAAAGAAAAGCTCCCTTGACCATAAACTTCAGCTCTTAGTTGGCCCCTGAGAATGATCCAGATACCCATTTCAGAACAAGTTGATGGGACTTTAAAAATTCTTGAACAGTAGGAATGAGAAACAAAGGGAGGCTGAACCGGACGAAGAGACCACCACCTCTGAAAAAGGAGCAGACTAAGCTGATGGCTGCTGCTATTGGTAATGCCACTAGAGGGAGGTCTTACCCCAGTCTGGCCAAACAACCCAGTGCCTCTGGAGGGGGCCAATAATAGAACCTGCTTCAATTGTATACATACTGGCTCCTGAAATAAGGACCGCCCCTCAAAATGGTTCCCTTTTGGCCCCAGGTTAACAAGAGAGCCATTGGATGAGGGACTGTCCCTACTTTAAGAAAGAGTGGTCCCCTTCAGGGATCTAATGGCTCCTCTATGTGAAACATCTCCAGTTGGCTCGCTGCTCCTGGGATTTCTAGACACTGATGATTAATTAATTGATTAATTAATGAATTAATTTATTGGCTCCAATGCCAGACCAGACTCCAGACCTCACCGTCAACATAGCCAAGTCTCAAGTAAACTAATTAATCTTAGTGAGCAAAAGATTAATTAACAGAGAAGTGAATTAATCTCATTTATAATGGGGCAACTGAGTCTGCCCTCTTTTTAAACTTACAGGCCCTATTTCCTCATCATTACTACCATAATCTGTCAGTGCCTTACTCTTAAAGTTCTCTATACCTCATTATGAACTTTCCAAGACTTGAACTCCGTCTTCTTCACCCTTCCATTGCAAGGAACCTCTCCATCTTGCTAGTCCTCTCCTCATTAAACAATACTGCTGCCTTGGGGTCTTTTGGACCATGTCTCATACCATAGCATCTCTTGGGGGTATTGTCTATAAAATGGTTCACAATGTTATCAGGTGGCTGGGGTGTGTTGCCTCTACTCCCCATTGCCACATCTATGATCATACTACTCCTTGTTCCATTCTAACTTCCCTTCATCTTTATTTCATGACTATAAGCCATACTACATTACTTCAAGCTCTCAATGCTTGTGTTCATAAGGGCTGCTGGTTTTGCACATGTGCAGTCTTGTCAGAACTCATTGCTTTTCCTGACTTCCAATGGCATGGTCAAATCTCTCCTTGACAGTGCTTCCCCAACCAGGCCCACAACCAGGAGGTTGGAGTCCTACTCGAAACCTTCCTTGTTACATAAACACCTTTGTAATTCACCCTCTCAAATTGCTATGTCTATCCAGGAGCCCATTTTATAGTAAGCTCAGTTACAAACCCAGATCCCTATCTGTGCAAAAGCAAGTGTTAGCTTGTGACAGATCCGACTTTTGCTACCCAAGGATCAGTCACTACTCAAGACTGTAATCAAAGGCTGCCCACATCCTTCTGTCAGATGGGATAAAGCCACAAATCATACCTTCATCTCTCCTGCTCACAGGAGTCTTCCTAAACCAAACAACTGGGCTTTGTTTCCAGTCTTCAAATAATAAATAACCCTACACAAGAACCACAATGTGCTTGCCACCTAATTTAACTTACTGTTCATTAAAACTCCGATTCTTGGCATCTACCTAACTAATCAACATATGGATGATATGGATTCCTATCTTGATTATCTAAGTTCCTTATTTCCCCATCATTTCTTAATCTGGTCTCCCCATTTATTCCGTCTCATTCATGAGCTTCTCATCCTTATGGCCAATTTATAACATGGGAAGAAAGAGTTAACTATACCTTCAATGTTGCATGCCAGCTTTTACCAACTTTATTATCTTACATCTGTGCGTTCCTTCATCTAAAAGATTGTATTTTCTTTGTGCATTTATCAGCCTTCCTTTGTATGCTCTCTAATTGATTAGGCACTTGTATTATAGAATCTAACATGCTATCCATAAAAATTAGTTCATCTCCAATTCCTTTTCTTGCCTATGGTCTGTCTAGATGAACAGGAAGAGAGCCGATTACTGCTTTTGTAACCCTGAGCATTGGTATTCAGGTATTGTACACTTTTTTTCAACTGCCAGGTATCTATCTCAACAAATGGCTTCACAAATGGTAAAAAAAAAAAAAAGAACCCCAAACTCCTGACACTATGAGGATACAGTTACAATCCAAACTTTTTTAACTGGGATCATTCTTCAGAACAGAAGAGCTCTTGATCTGTTACAGCAGGTCATGTTGCATATAACATGAGCTTTTTAAAAAGCTGTTTTTATGGAAATGAGCCTGAAACCTTACATTTGAACTTAAGTGAGTTGTTACAACAGACCAGTAAATTCAAAGAAAAAGGGTTCCAATATGGATGAACTTGGTTTAATTAAAATTAAATAATTGGTCTTGGATTTCTTAGGACCAGGCTGCCATTGTGTGCCTTCTCATTTCTGTATTCTGTATCATCCACCTCTTTATTACTTTTATCCCAAAGAGTCTGACCCAATTAACAAAGAGTATTCTTTAAAACCAACCTTGCTTTTTAAACTAACTTCAGCTTTTTCCTAAGAGTGACCTCTTAACCTTTCAAGGATAACTCTCCAAACCTATTCCGCAGGAAGAAATGACAGAAAACAGATCCTCTTCCAACTCCTCTAGAATAAGTATCACTCACAGTAAACATTCAAGTAATTAATTCCCCTGTACTGGGGGGGAAATAAGGCCTCAACCCCAATTAGACTAACCTACTCCATTTTGTAACAGACTCCATTTTGTCTGGAAGAGAGGTTGCTTTACTTTGTTTTAGAAAAACTTTTCTGGACTCCAAGCAGGATCCTATTTACATCCTGTTCTGACAATATATTCCTGACAATCACCTTGGCAGAAACCTCGAAAAAACCCATCACTCCAGCTTGAACTAAAATGTCAGTGGTATATTTCTTCAATATCTTAAATATAAACTCAGCCTTCACTCCACACTGGCCTTCCCTATCTATGGTATCTGCTCGTTTACCATTCTAGGTAGCAAATAAACCTTGGGTCTCCCTTCTTGCCTCTTTCGACTTTTTGTAAATTCTTTCATACTCAACTACTGAAGCTCCCAGACCTAATATGGTGGAGCATGCATCCCATGCAAGAAAGGCCAAGTTGCATCATAGATAACTACAAAGGCGACAGAGAAAACTGTTTGGGGCTGAAGTTTCAGCCTGAGGATCATAACCCCAAATGTGGAAAACTGCACCAACAAGCAGCTGGAGTCTTTCACCCTGGGTGCTAACCTGGGGTGGAATAAAACCTTAGCACCAGGAAAGCCCCACAAAGGTATTTAAGGGGCGCTTGGCGGGTGTCCCATTCCTGAGGCAGGTCTGCGAATGAACCCAGTGACGATGGCTGGATTGGCTTGTTGGTGGGGAGCACGATTAAGCCCCGGGGCCTGGTGCCCAGTCTTCTTTCCTCCTTCACTTCCGTGGGGTTGGTTGGGCAGAGTGTAGGAGCTAGCTCGTATCTGAGATGGCTTCCCTCAGGGGGGCGCCTCCAATGTTCCCTTCTTTCTGGGGGCGAGCCCTCTGCGTCCTCTCTCTCTCCCCAAGTCTTCAG